ATTTTGTGAGAGCCTTTTTTTTGTAAGATTTGATGTATCATTCTCTTTGCCCAAAAACCACTTTGTTATGATGAACATTTTTGTCCATTGTGATATGTGTTTGATTATTCTTTGAATAAAAAAAAGAAGCATTTTGTTTCAGATTCATGTGAAGATAAAGAGTGGATGGCACTTTCAGACCCGAGCTCGGCTGAGTCTGGATCAAGGTCGAGTTTGTGTCCAGATTAATCTTTAGACTCAGTTTGAAGTCAACTTGGAATTTGAATATAGAAAAATCCAATGTCATTCAATGATACTTTCTTTCCTCTTTTTCAAGTTTGATATCACCTATATAGATATATAACAGGTTATTCGGAAAGTTCGTGCAACCCATATACTATGAAATCGCAGGATAGAAAGTGCTATATTTATTCAATGTAATAACCTTCGCTAGTAACCACAAGTAGATTTGACAACGCGTGGTTGCAAATGAACGTCTTTACATTGAATAAATGTAGCACTTGCTATCCTGCGATTTCATAGTATATGAGTTGCACGGACTTTTTGGATAATCTGTTACAACTAAAACTGTGTCATACGGATGAAGATTTTGATGTTACTGTCGGTTTGAATTTTTTTGGTGCCGAATTTTGTTGAAGAAAAACTCGGGCATGAACCCGGCCGGATCTGAGTGTTGGTCCATAAAAATGTAGACTCGAAGGCAATAGAGAATTTCACATATGGCTATGACACTTTCAAAATTACGTAACTTAAAGAACATATTCATATGACAACTATTTGTTCATTGATAATGACTATACTGACAGAAGCTATTGAAACAAAATTCTTTTGATAATACTTAGGATTGACCAAAAGTTCTGATTTCGGCGTTTAAAATTTTATATAATAGTTAATATCTAAAGTTTTTTTGCATGAATACATAGTAGAATGCCTCATCTATAATGAAGTATGGGTGAATGTAGAGTCTGGGCGCCGTTGTGGATCTTCTGTTCTCTCACATCCATCCACATCCACATTCTACTATTTATTCGTGCAAAGAAACTTTAAATATTAACTATTTTATAAAATTTTAAACACTGTGATCAGAAATTTTGGTTAATTCTGAGTAGTTAATATCTAAAGTTTCTTTGCATGAATAAATGGTAGAATGTCTTGTCTATAATAGGATGTGGGTGTGAATGGATGTGAGAGTACAGAAGATTCACAACCGTGCCCAGCCTCTACATCCACATATACTCAAAGTCACACCCTATTATAGATGAGGCATTCTACTATATATTCATGCAATAAAACTTTAGATATTAACTATTATACAAAATTTTCAATTCCGGGATCAGAACTTTTGGTCAACCCTAAGCAACAAATTCATAATTGTTAATTCTTAGGGTTCATATATAACAATAGATCAATTCTAAAATATCAGAGTTAGTTAATATGTTTGCAAAGTGTATTGAAGGTAACTGTGTTTTCTTCAATTGTACTCGATCAAGAACAATAATTTTACAAACAATTAAATATCTATTTGAATATTGTCGAAGAAAGCAGAATTAATTTACAATATGATAGGATTTGATACATTAACATAAATTAAACTACTCTAGTTCGTTTTCATCTCGGCCTGAATTCATATCGATTGATCTTGCTCACATTTTCTAATGCGTAATAAATGAACAATACAATCATCCACAATTTTTTTTTAAAAAATTTTGTTATTCTTTAACATTCTGGCATCATCGTCATTTAAGTTCATTTATAGTTTTATTATTTACATTTGTTAAATTCTTATTTCTTTTTAATTCATTATTACAAATATTTCTGTTAAATGCTTTTTTGGATAATGATTATCATTTATTCGGTTTTGAAGTTATTGTAAAATTTATTCGTGGCCTTGATTGGCGTGAATCAAAACGATTTCCACGTGTTACACTATGTGATTTTCATATACGCGAAGTAGGTATTATACATCGATATACAGTTCAATGTGTTTTACCAATAAATTTATTTAATGAAAAAATTTTTCTTATTCTTTGGTTTTGGTTTTTACTCTTAGCAGCTTTCAATATAGGTGATTTTATATCATGGTTATTACGTATTATACGTGTTGATAGCCGTTCAGCATATGTACGAAGAAAATTAGCCATGAAGCGTGTAGCAATAAATGAACCCATTGATGAATTTACTAGTCCGAAACAAATCAAATTAAATGAAAAACGTCATAAAGCTTTTGTTCGTGATTATTTACAAGAAGATGGTTGTTTTGTACTTCGTCTTCTTGCACGCAATGGACAAGATATTATTGTTGGTGAAATAATTGATAAATTATATAAACATTTTTGTACAATTTATGATCGTTAGCATATTAATTTTGACTAAGCAATAGCCTTACAGAAATCTAATAAGCATCATTCATCATTACCACCTGTTTTCCCACGATCACAGCAATTTGAAACATTAAATTATGATGATTATCATCGACATTTAGTCCCATAGACAAATACGTGATGATGACCATGAATCTCCTTTCGTTCTTTTTCTTTTTATCGCTTATGAATTATCTGTGATATGATATCTAACGAATGTTTTAGACCAGTTTTGAGAATAAATCACTATTCAAAAGAAAAGATGGGTGTGGGGTATGGGTGGGGTGTAAGCGTGTGTAAGTGTGGGTGTTTGTTGTGTTTCCACTCACCCACATCCTTATTGTCCATGTCAGCGTTCGCATTGTCTATTCCAATCGACGTAAGACCTTCTAAATATAAACCAGCTTTTTTAATCGCAGCCTTGAGATTTTCATAAATATTTGTTGCTGATTCATCAGCATCTGCAATCAAATCAATGATACCTATCATGTATAAAAAATTAATATTCGCAAATAATTGAAAAGAAGAATAATAACCTTTCTTTACCCCGAATTTTGAAAAATACTGTAAGCAAACCGGAAAAATTTGGTATTTTCTTTATTCGATGCATCGAACATGAGAGAATAATGATATGCTTCCTTCACTCCCAATAAAACTTTTTGAGTGAAATGCGGAGCTAAGATATTAACTGCAATCGACGACTACTCTGTTCGTCCACAGGTGATTGATTTTCCGATTTCAGAACAAGATAAGAAAATGGTTTTAATGACATTTGTGGAGCACGGTTGAGATGAATAAGAATGTCCATGCTTGACTCCATGATATACAAGAGTATCTTCTGCAGCTGCTGTTTCTTCACCTTCCTTGTTTGGTTTTATCGTTGATATTATTAATTGACGATTTACACTGAAGGATTTCATACTGTTGATGTGTTTTTTCGATTTTTTTATGTCAATCAATACCATTTTTTCACCATGATGAATAGAAAACTGTTCATTACAGGCAATGCAAACAACTTTAGTTGGATCTGGTTTATACTCTCGTAAAAATGATCCGAACTTAGCATCGAGCAACCATTGTGGACTGAAAATACCTTTTTTCTTTTTTTTTTCATTAGCATCTGTTGTGGCTTCCATCATTTTATTTTCAACTGACTGAAGTATTGATGTTGTTGCTATTAAATTTTCTTGATTTAATTTTAATTTATGTACTCTGATTCAGACTATATTCATTTTGACGGTGATATTTACGTCAGTGATCATGATTTATTGAATGATAACTAGTGTTCTTCTAGGTCGAGTTTTCAACAAGACAACAAGTTATTTTTATATGAAAAACCGGAAAAAAGCGGAAACTTTCCGCAAAAAGCGAAAAAGGTGGCATCCCTGATTTTTAATGTGACCAAAGGAAACAAAGCATTGATGAAAACCAAATTATTTCATCATTAATAGATCAAACAATTAATGATAATCGATATTATTGATCGGGATATTATAACAAAAAAAAGTTATTTTTACATTAGAAACAAATAGTCAACATGTTTATGCATTAAAATCAATGAATATTTCATTATTAAATGATAGAAATATTTTCGAACAATTAAATATAATTGATATATCTCCTTATGATTGTTGTTTGATATTGAATTTATAACATGTAAGAGAAAAATCAATCAATATTTACAAAGTCTTAGCTTCGAAGAATACTAAAAGAATTGTAAATTCTAACGAAAAAATTTCGAATTTAAATAAAATAAAATTTAATCTTGTTAAAGAAAATGAAACAATGAAACTTGTCTTGCATTAATTAAGAAATCGAATGATTTATAACTAATCTAATAATAATGAAGAAGAAAACAAATGAGAAATAGCAACAATTGCCTGTTTTTGCTACTATAGCTGATGTTAAGAAAGATAATCATATTGATAGTTTACAGCAATATCTTCTATATTCGAATAGATTTATCAATTTTTGTTACAATGTAAATTGATAAGAAAATAAATCCATACAGTTTACTTGTTCATTATCGATAACACTAAAATGTTTCTGTACGTCTACATGTCAAATGTTAGGCATAAATTTCGAGTTTTATTCTTTAACTATGAAGGACGTTACATTAAGTGATGATGAGAACTCTTTAAACGATATTGATGAATATATGACTGAAATTCTATTTCAACTTATTTCAGCAGCATCTATATATTACTCAATCATGTAATTCAATTAGAATATCACACTTCCATGCCGTTAGGATGCATTGACAGTAATTATAATTAGAAAAACCCTTCAGAAATTAAACATGTTAGAAGACGATATAAAGGATGAGTGTGGGTGTAGTTCCTCTTTTCACCCATTCTCACACCTAACCACATCTACAGCCTGTAACATACACTATGTCGATCAGTAAATTGACAGTCTACCGCCATTTTCCGTCCAATTCGAATCACAAAAGGGTGTGGAGAGAAAACGCAAACGAAGCACGAGGTAATGCTTTTTCTTTTTCGTCTTTATTTTTTTTGTGCTTAACGGCGTAATATACATGTTTTTTCCTCTTTCTTTTTTTTCTTTTCACAAGTATTTATACGTTACTTCTGTGCACAATTTACTTATTCAAATTTATTTAAACATCATTTACAAGCAATGTCTATGGCAGAAGACACAGCAGTTATCGCAGCAGCAGCAAAAAACGAAAAAAATAAAACAAACTGTGGAAGTTGCGGAAATGGATTAGAACCTGATGAACCCGGTATACAATGTGTGCAAGGTCATCATTTTTGTACGGAATGTTCAAGTCGTATTGTTAATTTATTTTTTGCTAACCCTCAAAAATATACACCTTTACGTTGTCTACAATGTCATGTTGAATTAAACCCTTGTGTGTTTGAACGACAATTAACGCCAAAACAACTTGATTTATATAATCAACATATGCTTATATTTGTTTCGACAAAAGAATTTCTTGGACCAGATGAACGTTTAGATCATTGTCCATTTTGTTCATTTGGTTCTATACGTAGTAAACAAGCTTCACATACTTTTTATTGCGAACGTCCACAATGTGGTGTAGTATCATGTTTAACATGTCGAAAAGCTTGTCCCCGACTTAAAAATGATTATCCTACTGATGAAGAATTGGCTGAAATGGAACGACACTTTATATGTGCCGAATTAGCTGATGACAAACAAATAGTGGATGACTGTTTAGAATTAGGTCAAAAAGTTCCTTGTCCTCAATGTGGTCTAGCTGGAAGAAAAGATCATGCTTGTACACATATGGCTTGTCCGACATGTGCACAATTATGGTGTTATTTTTGTGGAAAAAAAGTTGAAGATGGAACCGATGAAAAATATGCTCATAATGTTGATTGGAATTGTAATCCTAATCGATGTCCAATGTATTTAAGACAGATAGCGGATGTTGATGATCGATGGCCTGATAATGAAGAAGATTGTTTAGTTAGATTTCATCGTATTCGTACATTAGGCTTATTACGAGAAGCATTTGAAAAGCTGGGACAAAACCGAATGGATGAACTTGATCGTCATTTTAATATAATTAGTTCGTCCGGTTTTACATGGGATGAAATTCTTCATGAAGATCTTACATTAATTAGATGTACAGATTCGAGTGGGACAAGATGTGGCAGTTAAATACTATAGATACGAGAGATTCTTTTGCATTAATACAATATCTGATCGATTTGAATCATATTTTTTTTCGAAAGAGTGTGTTCTGGGATATGTTCACAAAGTTTCAAATAAAAAATGATGCTTTAGAGTAGATTCGCTAGACAGGAATGTCGATGTGTTCGGAATAATAAGAATCCAGCAATCAAGAAATTTTTTAGAATTACAGCTTCTATTTATTGAAATTGATTGAAATTGATAATGACCAATTCACAATTCACAATTCTTATTATTTGTTTTTTTGCAGTCTATGAAGTATTTTATATACTATATTTTTCAATAGTTCGTCGGATGCCAATATTCGAGTATATATCATTATAGTGCGATTATGTCTGGGTACTTGCTGTTTAATACTTCATGTAATAGCCGTGGTATCATGAAATGTCATCATTTCTATGTGTCAACGATACATTGGATGTCGGGGTGACTGTGTAATTGACGAAATGAACTACACCCACACCCTAATCAATATAGTTCAATGAATGAAATATCTTATATGATTATTTATTTCTATAATGATAAAAGAAAAAAAATCCAATTTGATTTTAAATAAAAATGAAAGTAAACTAAAAAGAATCGAATAAAATTATTTTGCACATATGTATTGAGACACCTGAATTGACGATATTTTTTTGTTCCTTTCTATTGTTTGAATAAGTGTGTGGATATGACTCTTATCTGCAACCACATTATGTAAATATCAGATATCACTGACAAAATTAACGACCACAGTCTAACTTTGATTATCATTGTTAAACTAGCTAAAGCAGGTACTGGTGTGAATGTGGAGTGTGGATATATAACAAAAAGAAGAGCCACATTCATCCATATCCTTGAACTCCCAGATTTAAATCTTTTATGGCAGACTGTAAGAAAAAAATTCAAAATTGCTTAAAACTCGATTGAGTTGCTCTAAACGGTAAGCATCGTTGAATATCTTTTCTCTAAATTGATCAATTGTTTCATGTTGTACGTTCCATCTGTATTGATCCGTATCATTCGATTCTATATTGATGTACTTGATTCAAACAGTAGATGCCTGAATTAACTTTTTATCTCGTTTCTCTGTAATAAAACTAAACTCTACAATAAAACTAAAATATCATGGCTTTATAATGAACCGATTCCTGCGTTCCGAAGAAGTATCTGAATACATCAAACAGTTTTCAACAATTACAACCCAGGTCAATCACGCTCGGCAGTAAACGGCCGTTCACTAACCAAATACGGCGAAAAACGGCAACTGTTTACATTAGTCATATACGGCACCAGTAAACGACAATTTACAGCATATTACGGCAATCGTACACAGTGTCCACAAAAGTTCATCGTAAACTACTACCGTAACAATACGGTGACTGTATACTTTGGTCCAAAAATAATGTAACGCATCGTATACGTGAGCCGTATTCGGTGACCGTTTACAACAGTCGTACCTGATGCTTTACGGCATGCTAC